GTGTGTGTGTGTGTGTGTGTGTGTGTGTGTGTGTGTGATATAGATAGCCCGATTGTGACTGAGCACTCCATTGACACTTATTTCTGCACTTTGACCAGTTTTAGGTTTCTGGATTAAACTAATATCTACCACACAAAGAAACTTCTCTGATGAGGACTGAGAGCTATGGATATAAAAATACAAATTTAGACAGCAACTTGATACTTTATCTGTTTGGCAGAATAATAATAGTAGGTTCACCCCTAGGATCTATGAGCTTCCCAAGCATCAGTTCTTGGCCATATTTATAGTAACATGCATGTACTTCTTCCTGTGGAGCACTCGGTAAATCTAACTGAAAAAACGTAGTTGGTTACACTCGTAACATCCATGCCCCTATTACACTCATGGACATATCTTGCCAAGTTGGTTATTATTGTAGTTCACAGGATTCACCGCTGGTGATTGATTGTCAATGACTTCCCCCTTCTTCCCCGAGTAGCCTGCATAGCACCTTCCAGTACTATGAAAATGAGTCAGCAGGAGGAAGTTCCTAGTCCGTATCAATTTGATCTCTCCATGCCCTGTGACCATGGTGTATGCTATCTCCACCAATAGGGTTTACCTTCAAGGAGAACTTGGCTTCTAATAATTACATGTAATAAACAAAAGATAGTGATATTTACTGTATATAAATGTTTGTAATGGGTCACATTTTAAGGTGCTTGCATTTTTCTTTACTGTAACAAGCAATGTGATAAACAGCTTCTTTGTAAATTTATATTCAAATCTAACTGGGTTTTTTTGTTTTGTTTTTTTTTGTTTGTTTGTTTTGTTTTGTTTTAAGATACAGATAACCATGTCAAGGACTGGTGGAATAGTCTAGTCAGACAGGGTCGTGAAGCATGATCTCAATGTATGTTAAAAACAAAACAAATAAAACACAACTTTACAACAGGCTTGCAAAGGTTGAGTTGGAAAGAGGTGGTGCTGAGGTAAGAATAGTAAGGTTTCTAATGGCACCAAAGTATGAGGGTATAAGTAAAGCTCAAAGAAAAGGGTTTTTGTTTAATAGCCTTGCGAGAACTTGAATGCTATCTGGACATTTTACATATTATAGGACCTGTAAGGTGTCAGCCATGTTAGGGAACAGACATTGATGGGGGATTGATATACTGTATAGGTCCTATACAGGAGGTACCAAGGATGAGGAATAGATTTGAAAGGTTGTTCTAGGAGAGGGAAACTTGCCACTGGGTATTAGGTGTGTTGCTTTTATGGACACAAGGTAAAGCTGTCGGAAAGATAGTTTATAAGTTATTCTCTTAGGTGAGAGGGCAGAACAGACATTTGTATGTGCGAATTCTTCACATGGAGACCCTAGACACAGAAATAGTTTTAAAGATCAGATGTGCACATGTCTCCTTGGGTTTTAATAAGCATCAGAATTTAAGCTTTAGCAACTAATACTTGGAATTGCATCTTAAAATTATATAATATGACTCGTGTCCTTGAAATTTGATTATTACTTGAAAAATTGGTCAAAAGTGATAAATGTTTAAATGTTACAGTTGAGAAAATGTCTTTATTGTGTTGCCAACTGCTGCATGACAGGGAACTTTAGTTCTAACAAGCTTTAATTAGAAAAAGTGAAAAAAAAATCAAAGGATGATGTCAGCCAAGACCAAAGTGAACCAGAACAAGAAATACTTTTATTAGTTACAGAACATCCACAGTGTGTGGGGTTGTCTCATTGGCTTCCTTTAACAACAATGAAAATATTGCAGGCCTCTTTCTGGGAGTTCAGACTGTGGGTCTTTTTGGACACCAAATGATTTTGATAGGTGTTTTTAGTAGTAAAATTATGTTCTTTGGGTTTGCAAAAAAATTAAAAGATGTGCTAAATAAATCATGGCTTTAAAAAAACCAAAGAATATTCTTAACAAACTTAAGATGTTAAAAAATGTTCTTAAGAAAGGAAGTAGACAGTCAACACCAAGTGTCCATTGGTTAGTGGTAAATTAACCTGTTGTTTTAGTTAAGGTTACTACTGCTATGCTGAAACACCATGACCCAAAGCAAGTTGGAGAGGAAAGGGTTTATTTGCCTTACACTTCCACATCATAGTTCATCATTGAAGGAAGTCAGGACAATAACTCAAGCAGGAACTTGAAAGAAGTAGCTGATGCAGAGGCCATGGAGGGGTGCTGTTGATTGGCTTGCTCTGAGCTTGTTACTTGCTCAGTCTGCTTTCCTATAGAACTCAGGACCACCTGCCCAGAGAGGGCACCAACCACCATAAGCTGGACCCTTCCACATCAATCACTAATGGAGAAAATACCTTACATGTTTACCTGTAGCCAGATCTTACTGAGGCATTTCTCAGTGGAGGCTCCCTCCTTTCCAGTGACTCTAGCTTGTGTCAAGTTGTCATCAAACTAGCCAACACACCTATACTTTATTATTATTTATCGCAGCATAGTTTCTATCACGGAGAGTGACATAAAAAAGATTTGTTAATTTTTTTAGATGCCATCATATTATAATTGAAAGTAATTGTCCATGTAGGGATTAAATAGATCAACAGAAATACATGAATTTACTTTCTAAAAAACCTGATTCTCTCTCCTTAAGATGCAATTTTACCCTACCTAAGAGAAGATTTACTGGTAAATTCTTGGTCCGTTCTTCTTTCTCCTTACTCTTCACTGATGTTGAGCACTGTTATGTCTGAGTCCCAGTGGACCTGTCCTTCTCTGTATCTCATTGAGAAGTGTTGCCTGGTCCTTTAATCTGTTTTCCTGTTTGGCCATCACTCTTGCTCCTTGCTGTTTTACAGAACTTTACCCAGTTTGCCAAGTTCAACCTAACGGTAGAATACCTTGCTGGTGTGCCCAGCTGATGCCCCCATTCTCTGAAATGCAGCAGCCGTGGCAACTGTGGTCTCTGCGTTCAGAGTCTCCAGTTTCGGGCTCTCGGGATGGTCTTACTCTGAGCAGATCTGTGTCGCCTCCTACTCCGTATTTGCTCATTCATCTCTGCCTTTACACTCTTCATGCCACTTCTTTCCCAGGGTCCAGCAGGGACCTTGACTCCTGTGTTACTAAGGTTACCCCCACCCCGATCTCTACCAAAGTTTCCCTCAGCCATACTACCCTCCAGCTAGCTGCTTTCCTAGTTCTCAGTTTTGTTCGGGCTGCTTGACACAAGAGTGCCTCCTCGCCTCTCCATTTACTCTCTGGCTTCCATCCAAATTGCTCTGGACCAGCTACCAGCAACTGTGAGCTGTTTTCCGTCTTCACTGGGTTTAGTCTCTGCAGTATTTTGTAGTTACTGAACATCTATTGTTCTGAAAACACCTCTCTCTTTTAGGTTTCCTCCCTCTTTAGATTGGTACAAATTCAGACTTGTCATTCTTCTTAAAAAAAAAAAAAAAAAAAAAAAGAAGCATTTAATGATTTAAATATAAAGTCTGTTTGTAATCAAGTATTAATTTTATTACTATAAGGATTGTAATATATGTGTGTGTGTGTGTGTGTGTTTTCATATATGTGTGTGCACGTGGGTTCACATGGTGCATGTAAATGCGCGTGCACATGTGAGCTCATGCATATGGGTGCCAGAGGTCAGCTTTGGTGTTGTCAGGTGCTGTTTACCTTGTCTTGTTGTCACCAAAGCTATATATATATATATATATATATAATATATATATATATATATATATATATATATATATAATATATATATATATATATATATATAATTAATATTTTATTATTTAGTTTAGTAATATGTATATTTATTTATATACATATTATTAGTTCTTTGAGAATTTCATGCAGTGTATTTTGATCACATTCATCCTCTCCAGCTCCTCCCAGGTCCACCTCTCTTCCTTACCCATCCTTTGTGTCTTCCTTTTTTCCCCCAATCCTCTCAAGTTCTGTTTGTGCTGACAACATGCCCTTGGGTGTGGGGCTATCCATCGATGTGTGGTCAACGTAACAGGAGCTGCTGTCAAAGGAAACCGGGCCTCTCCCTGAGAAGCCACCAGTTGCCATTAGCTTCTGGTCTGGGGGAGGAGTTCCTGCTCATCTCCTGCTGCAGCCTGGGACTTTGTCTGACTTCGCCTTGCACAGTGCTCTGCAGACACAGCAGGGTACCTGCATGTGTGAATCTACCTGGCGTTTTACATTTTACGCAGCATCCCTCAGTGGAACCCGAGGCTTGCTGGTTGGGTTAGATTGGCTAGCCAGCAAGCTCCAGGGTGCTCCTGTCCCTGCCTCCTCGGTGGGTGCTGGAAGTCACAGAAGCAGGCTGCTGCACCAGATTTTTGTTTTTAGCATGAGTGCTGGGGATCAATCTCAGATCCTCCCACTCACATGGAAAGTACTGTATGTACCAACTCAGCCATCTTCTTCATCCTTGTATTTTTATATTATACAAATATGTGATAATTTAGTGTCAGTTATACTTCTTTTTTTATGTGTACACATTTGTGTGTGTCTATGTGCAAGTGGAAGCCAGAGGACAATGCCTAGTATCTATCTTGTTTTCTGCCTGCCTGCCTTCCTACCTGCCTCCTTCCCTCCCACCCTCCTTCTCTCCTTCTATCCATCCATCCATCCATCCATCCATCCATCCATCCATCCATCCTTTCCTGTCTTTTTGAGATAGGGTTTCTTACTGGACTTCAAGCTTACTGATCAGCTACACTAGCTGGCCAGCAAGCCCCAGGATCCTCCTGACTCCCTCTCCAGCACAGCCCAGAGATTGCAGGCATTCACTGGAGTTGTGTGTTTGCTTTGTTTCTAATAAAGGTTCTGAAGACTGAACTCAGGTCCTTATGGTTACGTGGCAAGCACTTTACTGGCTAAGCCATTTCCCCAGCCTCAAGTACTACTACTTAAAATACTTGACTGTCTAGGAATCCTTTTGCTGTACATGTTATATTCCTTAAGTATAAATGTGAAAATATAAGACATGCATATTAATTACTACCCTGGTCTCTTGTTTCCTAGTTAATGAAAGAATTCCCCCTCTTAAGCATGTTCAATATCCATGAAAACCTTCTAGAAGCCCTTCTGGAACTCCAAGCTTATGCTGATGTCCAGGCCGTCTTAGCAAAGTATGATGGTAAGTCCTGGGGTATTTTATGCACTTGAGAACTCCTTTCTCCTTGATATAATCCACTGATTAGATTGGAATGACAATTTCAAGTGGGACTTTGGTAACACTAAGAATTGTCACTTGTAGCGTTACCATGGTTATTCTCTAGCATCTTCAACTGAGTGCTTGTGTGGCTTGTGCTCCACTCTTAGCCTTACTTCCCACAGACTGCTGATATGCTCCCACCCGGGCAGCTGTGTGTCTCTGCTTGATTCCCTCCTGATCAAGAGACAGCACATGTGGGGTTGGGCAGCACCACCAGGTCTTGCCATGACACCTTGCAGGTTCACTGTGATCACTATCTCATGGCCGTGTTGATGCGCTAGATCAATATAGAACAGCTACTAGCCATGCCACAGGTGACAGTGATGAAGTAAGCGTTTGAAGAACAAGTCATGTTCCCTTTCCCAGAAGGTCGTCCTTAGTAACAGACTACCCCTATTTTTTACATGACACCGATGCCTTTGAAGGCCCTTCACCATTCTGGTTACTTCCTCATGAACTTATTCTACTTTACCTGTTACTAGTGAGTCAGGGAAAGAAGCTGGTACAGTGTCGAGAACTTAAACCTATTCTGTTTACAGTGGTGTCTGTGAATTTAGTATTTGATTAGCAGTACAAAAATTATATACATAATTACCTGCCATGGTTATACTCTCTGTAGAACTTCACACTCTTCTGACTTATCTCAATCATTTTCTCCATAAATGTGTTTTGCTTATAGATTTGATATTATGGTATGATTACTTATATTACATAATAATTTTCTTGCATTGCAAAATATTCTTTCTTTAGCAAACTTCCTTGGTCTATTTAAGAATTATTCAAATCACAGATTTCCTGAAATTCTTCAAACACAGAGAGCAAACTATGTCGTTTGGATTTTAGTTTCGACCCACCAACACTTCCTAAGAGCTGGTGTTGTTAGCTCCTGCTGTTTAGGAAACTGAGCTATTGTGGGCCTGTTTTTGTTTGTTTTCCCCAAAGTCTTGCTCAGAATGATGGAAACTAAAAGCCTTCAGCCAGTGATGGCATCACTTTGCCAGTGTACATCTGCACACCCCGTGGTAACAAGATATACACGACTTAGTATGGAGCTGATTTTAAAGTATTTATGGAATACTTTAAAGTAAACAAACTAAAGACTGTTTGGCCTTCACATCAGCTCATTTTTTATTCTCTGTTTATTCTCTAGAATCTCACTGTTCACTTGAAGCTTGGAGATGTAAGCTATACATCGTTGTGGGCACAATGCTCATATATTGAGTGTCTTTTAGTACCAAAGGAGTTAGTCTTATGCCATGGGTCTACCTGACAACCAGCTTTGCCCAATGAAAAGTTCATGTTCTCATGATGAGTGTTGATCTATACTCAGCCCAATAAGCCTTAAGAAGTAAGGCTTTAACTAAAAAAGTCTTTGAGATCACAAGTCTCAAGACTCCTTTCATGAAGATCTCAGCTCATTATAGAAATCATCAGCCTTGTGTTATAAAACTGATTGCCAAGTAAAGAAATGAACTCACTTGGATTTATTCATTGTCTCAATGTATCCCATTGCACAGCCTCTATTCCTCAACAATCAAAAGCTGATTTATTAAATTCTGATAACATATGTTCGTATTACTTGTTACAACAGCCTGTCCCACCCTCTACTAAAACTTGGCTTGCACTTTGAAAAATTCCTTTATTTCAAATGGACAAACTCACCCTATCAAGGCCCATGTTGAGCTTTGTTTATGTTGTGTACCTGGCAACAGAAGTGATGTTCTTGTTCATTATTCATGGAAAAAGAGTCTCACTGGTGGCAGGACACATAGTTTGCCGAGCTGCCTCCTTAGAGGCTTTGAGTTCAGCAGTTGTCGATAGAGTGCAGATGACCTAACCCCACTGAACTCTGAGGGGAGTGTTGGTGCCGACTTGCCTTAGGCTTGTGTCGTTTACAGTAGACATAATGAAGTGGCTGCTGAAGTCACTGTTCTTGAGGGTGAGCTGCAGACACTTAAGACTGTGGGAAAACATGTCTCCTGTTCTTTATCCCATCCCGTGGCATGGTCCTTTCAAGTTCATCCCTGATGCTTTGTTTGGAGATGCAAAGGATCTTGACTGAGCTGCGGGCCCATTATCTGGCCCTATACAAGGAAGTGAGTGCTTTGGAGCTCTTGGAGTAGACAGCTTATGGGGCATCCTGGGTTTTGCCGTGGTTCAAGTTCAGTCATTCTTATCTAAGTTGCTAGAGACAGCACTTTGAATTGTAGCCCTCCATCCCTTTCACAGAGTCACACCCAAAACAACAGGATTATGTTATCTCCACAAGTTGGAATGTTCTGGTTGGATGGCTGTTTCTGGGAGGGTTTATGGGTACAGCAGTCCCTCTTTATTGTTTGTTAAGTGGCTAAGTTTTATAAGTCGTGTTCTGGGAAGCGATATGAAGGGATTAGTGATGCTTTTCTGACCTTTGCAAAGAGGATTTAGAAAAATGGCAAGAATGGGGAGGAAAAAAACCCAAGAAATAACATGCTTTGGAAAGAAGAGGAGAACAAAATGTATTCACCCTTGCCTCATTCTTCTTTACTATTACAAAAAGAAAAAGACAGTTTGGCTTTGAAAGTTTTGAGTTTGAAAATCCTTGATATTCACAAATTCTTCTTGCAGTGGATCCTTTGGAAACTGTGTTTTCTAGGATTACAGAATAATTGGTCACACTTTCTTATGATCTGCATTCTAATTTTGATTTTGTCACTGAGATAACAGCTCATGCTTTGTTACTGAGACATTTGTCTCAAGTGCTGTCTTGTCATTTCTGAGGAGTTTTCGTTCTCTTCAGTTTTCAGTTTATTAACCATCACAATGCCCTTCACACAATGACTAGCAGCAGCAGCAGCTGTAACAGCTAACACGTATTGGGTTCTTACGTTGGTGTCAGACATTGTCTAAGCTTTATATATGACTTCGTATTTAGCAAGCACTGTTGTTAGCTTCATTTAGGGTTGTGCTGTGTCTAGGAAGTATCTCGTTCATAAGAATCCCCTAAAACTTCAGAGTAAAGTCATATAGATATAAGAGAAAAGAGATCAATTGTGAAAAGTCATTGCTCAAAATGGTGTGAATGTTATAAGAAAGAGAAAGTCAGTGATAAACACCATGGGTGTCCAGTCCATAGTTCCTGTTATTTTTTATTACCCTACCATTCTTCAAATATGTTATACACATTAGATATACCCTCACAGTAACCCTCAAAGGAGATAGTTACACCATTTCAGCAGATGTAGAAACTGAGGTGTTGTGAATTTAGGTAACTTGCAGGATCACACATTCTTAAAGAACTGTGGACTGGGATTCAAATCCAATTCAAATTGAAATTCAAAAGACAGGGACAGCTCTAAACTCATTTATTTTTCTGTAAATGTGAGTCTTGCTACATTGATGAAGTCTGCTTTTTGTACAAAGGTATAAAATATGTAGGCTGGGGCCAGTGGTGCAGAGTTTCAGTGATGCTAAATGGCCTTTGAATCATTCTTTAGGAAATAGGTATATCTATATTTGCTTGCCTTTCTGATGCTATCTTCAAAATATGGCTTTCCATCTTCAATCAATCTGTTTAATTTGTCACTAAAAGGATTTTATGTATAACATTAATTTAATTTGAAATTTATCATATTTTTCCAGCCATGTATTTGTTATACATGGAATATTTTCACCATTATGAAATCATCAGAAATTCTTTTAGAAGTCATTGTGAAAGCTACTGCAACCTTTGGATCATCTTTCAAGGAAGTTTGTAGACCACCTAGGTTGAAAACTTTAATCTCAAAGCTTGAGATGGTAGTGTGGAAAAGGATCCATGCATCTTGTTCATTATAATCTGGGCATTTCAATTTTAGAAGACTCTCACAGCACCAATGAATGTGCCTGTGCTGACTACATAGTGCATTTAGATCTGCTGGTTTTAGTTAACCATCCCGGGGAATTCCAAAAGGCATCATGGGTGGAGTACTTAACCTTCTAAGTGTCCATTCCTTATGTGGAAATGGAATCCAGGCCCAGAAGGTTCAGTAGCTTGTTCAAGTTAGCACAGCAGGTGACTTTCTGTGAGAGTTAAAGAAGTACAGCTCATCTCGGTGTTGAGAGCTGTGGAGCCCAGAGTAGGAGTGGAGAGACTGTTTGTTAGTGGTTCTACAGAGCCCACTTGCTGCTCCTCACTTTCCCAAACTTGATCAACCTCATAGGAATAGAAAGCTGTGTATAAAATGGCAGCTTAAATATGAGGATAAGAGCCTGTTCCTCCACAAAGCCCGTGTATGGCCTATTATGGAAATTAATTATAGAGATAATAGAACATAGGTAGAGACATGTGATTATGAAAACAGAATTGCTTAGGTTCACCTACAAATAATTCTTAAACTTTTGGAAAGCTATAATCAGAAACATTATGGATTTTGACTCCTGATACAAGACAAAGTGTTCCTGTGGGTTCAGTATGAATTACTTTTCTCACTGGTCTGAGGAAACTAGCTGCCAGAGGCAGCTTGAGGGAGAAGGGATTCCTGTTGGCTCACAGCTTCGGTCTGCCGTGGGGGGAAGGTGTGGTACTGCTGCTCAGTCCATGGAGGTGCAGCTTGCTGCTGCCACTTCTTGCATCTTGGGGGATCAAGAAGCAGAACATTTGGACTGAAAGTGGGGCTGGGCTACAAGCGGCAGAGGACCACAACGGGTGGTCTGTGTCTGGCAAGTAGGCTCTATGCGCTAAAGGTTCTAAAACCTCCCTCAACAACACTAGCTAGACACTGAAGACACATGAGCTTGTGGGGGTGGGGGGGCATTTCACAGTCAAAGCAAAACGGAGTGCTAGCCCTCCAGCCTTATAGCAGTGTGTATGAATGGAAACACAGACCCAAGCTCTTTTAGATATGTACACTATTACCTCTTTAGTGGTTACCCTAAATTTAGGGGCATAAACTTCCCTATAA